TTTTTTACGAAATACGCCACCACCGGCCCATCGCCGGGTGCTTGCTGCAGTGGACCTCTAAAGGAATTTCGAGGAATTGATGAGGGCCTCCGAAACACGGTTAATTGCGACAGAAAATGGAAGAGCTGCATGCATGCTGCTGTCCTGCGCGTTTCATGCACATAATGCGTCCCCTCCTGGGCGGGGGATACTGCGTGCCATTCACAACTAGTCAGAGAGTGAACCTGGGCTGTCTTTGCGCATAACCATGTCAGTCGCATGTGTTATGTTATGCTCATAGACACGTACCTGAGGATTTCCCCCGGATTCCCATAACATGCGGAACTGATGGGCACCTTCTCAACGTCCTGCGTACGCAGGCTTCGGCAATGTATCTACGACTGTACTCCACAACCTGTTCTTCATGGACGACTGCGCCCCGAAGACCGACATAAAATACAAAGACATGTTGACCTTGTTGCCTTTAGATTTAAATAATGTAGACAGTAATTATGCGCCAACCACCGCATGGTGTGCAGTGCGGCAGTTCTCAAGCCAATGTTAATGTTGACCAAATCAACACGTACAAATTAGCTTGTTTTAACAGCAAGATGTACCAGACCACAAATCAATAAGAGAAGGATCCCCTACCCCTGTTAATTTTGACTGCTTTCGTTGACGGTGACTTGGCCCCCTTCCCCCTTTAAATGTTGCCTGCTTTCGTTGACGGTTTTATCTCTGACGATGGACTCCCGCAAGAGTTCGAAAGCTCAGAAAAATAAAACTCCGATTTCAGTGATCGAACCTGCTTCTTCTCAATCCATGTACATACCTGGGATGCGAACCTTTGCCTCAATTCCTCAACGGATCGTTAAAGCCAGCCAGGTTACTGGCCGTCTGCAAGCCTCCGTGTGGAAATACTTGGGCCTATAGCTGAATAGTAAACTAAATATGCAAGTGACTGTTGTTCGATAGAAATTGCAATTCATATCGCAGAATTGAAGCGACTTCGTCGACAAAGCTAGAAAGCTGAATCACCTCCATTTGACCTGACCCCACAGATAACGGAAGCTAAGAGGACGAGTCAGTATCTCGGACGCGCAATTACGGGAGCTGACCGGAAATTCCACGTCCATATCATGCTTAAACAAATACAAGTGCGATGGGTGGCCACCCGAGAATACTGAACGACAGGCAAATAACCAGATGAGTCTTCTATCGCAATAACGCTGTGGATTCTGACCATAAAGGTAGAAAAAAACAACGCTAAAAGGACGCCGAAGAGATATTACACCAAATAAACCCTAAGGCATGAGAAGAAAACTTCATTTGCTGCTGCTGACTTATACTTATCCCGTAGACAGTCGGACGACCAAAATGACGGAGATAAGAGCAGTGAATCCACAATGGATTTGGCACGCGCAGGAAATGCGGAGAATCAAAAAAATGTACGTTTTATACGTTATAACTGTTTCATCCTCCCTAAAGCAAGCCTACCTGATGAGGTGCTGCCTTCTACGTCAACGTCAATGACAATCCTAAAGCACTACCCCAGCAAGTGGGACCGAGCCGAACCTTACCCTTTTACAATCGAACGTTCACCCCGCAAATAGCTCAGGTCGCCAACCTTCTAGTTCATCAAACAGAGACTGGTGAACTAGTGCCGCAAACACAACAGAAAACACATATATACTCGACCACATGAACATATATGAAAATGCAATTCACCGCAATGCCGACACGCTTAGAAAACCCTACACATAAACGTATAACAACAGCTCTAGGTGACCAATCAGCGTGATCACTACCGCCGTCAATAACAGTACCACGTCACTGCCTCACGCACTGTTTCTGTATGCATTGTGAAAATTATAACCCCACCGGACGTAAAAAAATGATTTCGCCAGATCACGTTGCAAAAAATGTTGATTGAGTGGCTACTGCTAAATCGATCTGCAACAGCTGAATACATATATACAAACGCCGCCCGGTTATCCCGAGAACGGAGCAGGACGCCCTGAAGACGCTGAAGGCTGACAAGACAATATTCATACTACCAGCAGACAAAGGGCGTTCTACAGTTGTACTGGAGAAGTTTGTATACCTGCAGAAGGCCAACACACTGCTTGCGGACCACCAAGCATACCAAAAGGGTGAAGGTGACCCAACGAAAAATGTGGTAACACAAATCAACTCAACACTGACTGTGCTACAGAACAATGGTGCGATGACCAGAGCGGAACGATTGGCCATCAAACCAAACGATGCAGCGATTGCAAGTCTCTACGGGCTACTCTGAGTTCACAATGAGGGTACTCTACTTCGCCCAATCGTGTCGTTGCGCAGCACACCCACATTTAACCTGGCAAAATGGATGTTTCGACGCTTGAAACCCTTTACCTCGGGCTTTAATACGACTATCCGATCAGCCACGGACTTCTTAGAGAGACATACTGGGTTACACCTCGAGGCAGATGAGATCATTATATCATTTGACGTCACCTCACTGTTCACCACGATCCTACAGAGCCTGCCCATTGAAACTGTCAGCAACCAACTTGACACCCGCTATACAGAGGCAGCCAAAACATCTCAACGCAAACATCTCATGCAGTTGGTGAGGTACTGCCTCAAAACCTACTTTACCTTCGAAGGGATAGTGTACGAGCAAACTAAAGGTACACCGATGGGATCACCACTATCCGGTTTCATCGCCGAAGCGGTCCTCCAGAGGTTAGAAGCACTCGTGTTCGGCACTTACAAGCCAAAGTTTTGTGCGCGTTATGTAGATGACACTTTCATCATCCTAAAATGGGAAACAGTCACAAAAAATTCGATGCCCTCCTCAACTCAATTTTTCCGGATATTTAATGTACAATGGAGGCGGAGAACGACGGGAAGATGGCGTTCCTGGACGTATTGGTTCATCGCAAGACTGACGGGAACCTAAAGACGATGGTTTACAGGAAAGCCACCAACACGCGTCAGATACTGAACTACCAAAGCAACCACCCGTTGTGTCACAAACGCAGCTGTGTAAGAAGTCTGTGCAAAAAAGCTGAAACGCACTGCAGCGAAAGAGCCGACAAAGTGGCCGAACTCCGCTATCTACAGCAGATGTTCACTATCAACGGATACCCCTGGAGCTTCATAGAGCGCAGTAAATGGGTCAACCAAATAAGAAAGCCAATGATCAACCAACCAAAAGTATGGTGGGCGCTGCCTTGTATTGCAAACGTGTCTGAAGCAGCCGCTCGACTCCTGCAACAATTGGGTC